GGGGGGTGGGGGGTAGGGAGTAGAAGCAGGGAACCCAGCTAGGCAGAGTTACTAAGACAACCCAGCTGGGAAAAGAAGGGCCCACGTGGGAGACACTAGCTTTAAAATGTATGGATGTTGCTGAGACAGGCAGCTTGCAGATAACCAATCACAAGGCAGTGAGGCATATAAACCAATCCCAAGGGTGATGCTGAGGCAGAATTCTTTGAGAGGACCATTCAGGAGCTAGCGAGGCATGTACCTACCCAAGATAAAAAGCTCATGCTTCCTCTTCCTCACCCTCTGGCACCTGGGGATGCACGCCCTGCGCCCACGTGGCCATGGGCTAATACACTTTAATGAGCTTGGAAGCTGAGTTGCATCAGCAGCGACATGGAACGGGCGCTCTGGACACCGGCTGCTTTTGGAACCCCAGCCGCACACCTTCCAGGACTGGCTTCTCCCAATAAGCTTTGCTTCCGTAACCGTTTTGTCCGTGAAGCCATTCTTCGGTTTTGTGAGACAACGAACTCGGACTCGAACACCACCTTTTGGTTTCAAGAGGACCAAGCAGAGAGGGCAAGCAGGCAGCTGGGTACATGGCCTTGAGGCGCCTGGGGGGCTTATTTGGATGTCTGGCACTAGGTGACACGGAAGCCCTGTGACTCACATAGAAAGAAAGTTGGGGAGAGAAAAAGAGGGAGGCGGGCAAGCTGGATGGGAAGGCTGAGGAGTGGTCAGAGAGGGAGGGGGAGACCCAGGAGAGTGGTGGCAGGGGAGTCCGTGGGCAAGAGTTCTGGAAGGAGAAGCACCCGTCAGTTGCGTCAGAAGTTGCTAAGAACAATAAGATAAAGGGAGCAGATGAGTGGTGCTGTTTCCTTATGGGTCAGAATTTTAAAATACGTCCAAGGATAAAACAGCACAGGACAAATGGCAAATATACAAACTGCCTCTGTACCGATCAGACTTTGGACTAAAAACAGTAGAAAGAATACTAACCAGGGTAAGGAGAGGCCCAGTAAATTACAAAACAGTATCTAGGTGTGTTTTTTAATTCAAAATAATCATTTGAAAAACATGCCTGAAAAAAACGTATGTAAAAAATACATCTGTGAAAATGGCCAAGAAAAATCGAAAAACATGGTAACAGGGGAAGACTTCCTGCCAGGCTCCAGAATGGATAACGACCAAACCAGAAGGAAAGCCCCGCGACATGAGTGAGGACTGTGCATTAGCTCCCGTCTCTCACCACCTTCTTTCTAGTTGGGGAGCTTGGAGAGCTAACTCCCTTGCAATTAGGTTTGGTCCTTAAGTGAGATCTGGGAGGCAGAAGAAAGGTGGAGGCCATTTCCCTGCTGCTTCTGATGGAAACGTGGGGCTCCCATGGGGAGGAGGGACCTACATGGTGTAAACAGCCCCTTGCCACCCCTAGTTCAAAAGACTGCCCGGGAGACTGCCTGCTGGTCCTCCAGGTGGAGTAACTGATGCAAAAATCTCTGTGTTCTAAGTTTATTCAAAGGCAGAGCATTTGTGAAAGACCAGACTTCTGGCCCAGTGGCTTGGGCTCTTACAATCTCAAAAGAGCACACAGACATAATTCAAGGTCAAGTAACAAACTGGGAAAACATCTGCAACATAGCTAACAAAGAGTTCTTGCAAATGAATGAGACAAAAGTAAGTCTAAAGGGGCAAGATAGGAGTAGGCAATTCACATAAGTGATGCCTAAAAACAGGTTTTATTTGCTAGTTATTAAAGAAATATAACTTGAAACAATATTACAAAACCACTGTTCTATCAAATTAACAAAGATGACAAAAAATGATGAAGATGGTGCTGGCAGGGCGTGGAGAAAAGGACCATCTTGCCCGCGGTATAAGGCAGTGCCACCTTTCTGCAGGTCTGCTGACAGCATGAGGCAAAGCCCTTCAACCAGTGCCCCTCTGAACACCAGCTCCAGAATTTTATTGTGAGGAAAGAAGTAGAGACGTGCACAGAGATTTGGTTACAAGTAGTTCTGTAAAAGTGGAAAGTTGGAAACAACCCAAATATACAAAAACAGACAGTAATTATGGTGCATTTGCATATAGGATACAATGCAATCATTAAAAATGCTGTAGAAGTATATTTTGCAACATGGAAAAAGGTTGGCTCTATATTAAGCAGTAATAGCTAGTTATAATATGATCCCCAAAATGCAAATATATGAAGAGAATAATTTGGAAGGTTTAATTATTTCTGGCTGCTGGGTTTACAGATAATTTTTATTTTTTCATTTCTCTTATTTATGGTTTAACATTCTTCTGTAATGAATGCCTATTTCTTTTATAATAAGTTTTAAAAACTGGCAAATACATGAAGTTGAAAGGAGAGAAGAAAGGACCATTAATAAATTCTGAATTCACTGGAATTAAACTACTTGATCACTAATAAAGAAGCAAATCATAAAGTGCTAGCATTTACCTTGAATTAACTAGATTTAGTTTTTGCCATCAGAGGGATTGAGGCCTAAAATAGAAACTGACTTGAGTTATAGAAAATAAAGTTACAATTCAGACATACCTGAATTGTAAAAACTGTGAAATTTTGAACTGTGAAATTTGTACCTGTTACATATGTATACATATGTGTAGAAAATATTTGGAAGGATATCCACTAAATTTTATGTATATACTAGAGGCCTGATGCACAAAGATTCGTGCAAGAATGGGCCTTCCTTCCCCTAGCTGTGGGCACTGCCTTCGCTCCGGCCTGGAGCTGCCCTTCCGCCTTCCCACACTGCCCAGAGGCCCAGAGTGGCTGGGGCGGTACAGAATGCCTGCGTTGTTGCAAGCGTCCCACACCACCCCCAGGCCGCTCAGTGCCTGTGTATGCAAATTAACCCGCCATCTTTGTTGGGTTAATCTGCATACTCACTCCTGATTGGCTGGTGGGCATTGCGAAGGTATGGTATAGCATGTGTCCTTTGCTCAACATTACAATTTTAAGGTTATTCTACCATTTATTTTCCAATATTTATTTTCATTGATCTATGTATTCTGTTGTATAAATATACCACATTTTGTTATTATTTCCACTCAAATAGACATTTGAGTTGCTACTCTTAACATGAGTGAGGGTTCTTAAATTGTCTCCTTTTTTAAAATCTTAAATCTTTATTTTTTTTCTAATTCTCAGGTATATAACTTTCATGGGAATTCCTTGTTCATAAAGTATGGTCATCTTCATTAAATATTGTCAAAAGGACTTTCAAAGGGGCCTCCTGCTCGCAGTGTACGGGCCTTCCCATCACCCCACTTCCTCCACAACAGGGACACTGTCAGATTCCCACCTTTACTGCCTCATTGGTGTGCTTCATTGTGATTTTTAATTTAGTTCAGTTTCTTTTCAGGGGTATATTAGACATTGGAAAATCTCATTTTGTGATTGCCTTTTCTTTTAATATTTTAAAGAAATCCTTATATATTTTGAAAGAGAGGTCTTTGCCAGTTTATAAATTACAAATACTTCCCACTCAGTGGCTTATAATTTCATTATCTTAATTATATATTTCGATGAATAAAAATTCTTGATTTTAATATAAATTTGTTAAACTGTTTTTCATAGTTTGTGCTTTTCAAGTTTTTGCTTAAGAGGTCTTTCTCTACTCCTAAGTAATGAAGATATTCTCTTCAAATAACATAAAGTTTCATCAATTTGCCTTTTACATTTTTGTGTTTAAACCATTTGAAATTGATTTTATGTATGAGGTGAGGAAGAAATCTATTTTTTTTCCTCTTCCATATTGACTTCCATTTTTTTCCAATACTGTTACCAGTGCCATGTTTTTGTTTTAAATAAAATGTCTGTACCTGGTTCTATTTCTAATGCTGGCTGATTTGTCTATATTTTTATCCCTGTTTCCAAAGATATCACTCCATTATCATAGGTCTACAATTAAATCCCAATACCTGATAAAGCAAGTTTGTTTACCTTGATCTTCTTTTTTAAATGCATTTTTTGGCCTACTTTAATCTTCTTTTTCAAATGAGTCTTGATTACTTTTTCCCTTTTGCATTTCCATGTGAGTTTCAGAATCAGGTAATCAGTTTTCTCCCCACAACACTCAAATGTGCACACACAGTCACACATACAAATACCACAAAAGGACAGGAAAAAAAATCTGAGTTTTTATTGCGACTGCAATGAATCTATAGAAAAATTTAGAGACCTAATTGTTTAAAATGATCTATTTGTGTCCAAAATGACCTATTGTGTAAAAATAATCTATCATAACTATAATCACAACTAGAAGCCCCATGCACAAAATTTCGTGCACTGGCAGGGGGGTGGGGGGTCCCTCAGCCCAACCTGTGCCCTCTCACAGTCTGGGACCCCTCGGGAGATAACCAACTGCTGGCTTAGGCCTGCTCCCCTGGTGGCAGATGGCAGGCCTGGATCCCTAGCTGGGGCGGCCGGCGGCTCGGGATGGCGCTGAAGTTCCTGTGGATGTTCAGGCTCCGAAAGCGTAGTTTTTCTTTCTTGGTTTTGTTTTTACTTCTTGAAATTGAAATGTGTTAAAAATATTTTTTAAAAGAATAGGTCAAGCACTCAGTGAGGCCTTAAAACCTGGGATGCTTGCTTGTGTTATCCGAGTCTAAGCTTGTGGTGCTGGAGCACCCCCGGGAGACGGGACCCCGGCGTGGCTCTGTCTCCTTCCCACAAACCACACGCCCAGCTGCTGTCGGGTGCCCAGCTGTCCTCCTTCACTTTTCGTTCCGGACTTGCCGGTCACTCCTGGTCTCTGTCCACCTCTGGGCGATGTTGGGGGGCGTGTTTCTTCCTGAGGAGCCGTCCTGGTCCTGGTCCTGGCCCCTTTCCTGATGCTCCTTTTCACTTCCAGAGCCGCCCATCTTGCTGTGTGCCACGCCTTTTTGCTCTTCCGTGGAGACGCCCAGACCTTTCTTTCCTTTGGGTACTTCCGGGGCTTTCGTCAGGTTTCCTTTCTGAGCTGTTTTTCTGATTTTGGACCTGGGAGCCAGGCCTCCTGCACCCGCAAGCTGCTGCTCTTCCTCTAAAATCATTTCTCCCTTAGGCTCCAGCCCCTCAAACTCCCCTGGAAAGCACTGGTCGCTTCCTGTGCCCGTGCACTTCCTGCTCCCGGCATTTCAGGTAAATGGAGTCAGACAGCTGGGGCCTTTGCACCGGCTGCTTCCCTCAGCTCCGTGTTCGTCCTCGTCGCCCGCAGCGTGTCAGCCCTGCGCTCCTCTTCGCTGTCAC